TTGAATAAAAATATATTATTGTTACTTTTTAAACCTTCGTGTTATTATTAAATAAAATAATGAAAAATATGTATTAATCGAATGGTTACTCGATTTTAATCAATATACGTACTTTAATTATTTAAATTACGGTTATTTTCCTTTTGCTTGTGTTGATTGCGTCTATACATTTATATATGTAATTTGGCTTTCATCACAAAACTTAAGTTATTGTTATAATTCATTGATGTATTGACTGAATGATATCAATCAGTCATTTCCATAGAGTATAGACGTTTGCCATATCCAGCGATGTACTGGCTCAAAATCATTCTACTAAATGTCTAAGCTTCACTGTACATACTGGCACTTATTAAAATATGAACATTCAATGTGTTCTATAATTATGTATATGTACAGTCAAGACTATAAATATAAAGGGTTACCTGTTAAGTCAAGCCAAGTTTTTTTACCAGGTACTACCGAGTTGTACGCTGATTCTTAAGACTTCCCTTCTTTGAATTCTGATTCTATCTCAGATTATTATACCTTGTTTGATAGCTGACAATACGTACATGTTTTTTACACATCTGCAAATTAACTGTCATAATTTTATTCAAAGAAAAACTTTTTTTTAAATTTGCTATTATCAACCATCTTCTTCGTTGTTGAGTCAAACCAAATTTGGTAATGATAATTATAAAATAATGTATCAACGATACATAAAAGTAAAAAAAGAAAAAATGAGTTATAAATTAATTTGTATTATGCAAAATTTCGGTAATTTTCCAAATCTCACAACTCCAATATCTTGAAAATGTTTAAGTTTGGGATATAATATTTCATAGTGATAAATTACAAATATGTTTTAATGGTCACTACAATTCGCTCAAGTATCTAGGTCGACTTAACGAGTAACCCTGGATATATATGTTGCAATGTCTCTTTTAATTTGCCGAATGGTTTTGTAAGGCAAAAAACGACTTTTTTACAATTCTGTTTTGAATAAAAAGTATTAGACGTCACATACATCTAAACAGTTTAGTAGAGTAAAATGTGGAGTATATTGTATTGGACTATGATTGATTATTATATGAGTATTTATTGTTATGAACACAATTTTTACAATTAGCAATACAATTTTTTGTATTTATAATAAAATTGTCCTGGCTATAATCTATCCCATTAAATAGGATCTCTATTCGCCTGCTCTTTTCGACGGGACTGGGCAATCTACTTATTCTCCCATGTGAAGAAATATTTTTGCAGAGAACGGGAAAAGAGTAAGTTGCGGTAATTGACCTTCCTTGCTCACTCGGATACGCCTACTATTTCGAAAACTTGCATGTACAGTCGCAAACAATAATAAATCTAATTGGTTGAAATTGATAAGAATACGTAAGAGTACGTAAACAAGTCACAGAAAGCGCAATGTTTTAAAGTGATACGGCGATGATCTCGACTGTAATTAAAGTATTTATGCAGAAATTGTAATCATAAATTAAGATATTGTTTGTAATTAGATAAATAAACTATGTATTTGGGCTTCCGTGACATTGTTGTCCTAGTTTAGTGCAGGCGTATTTAACATCCATGAATTAGCCCGCGTCTTCAAGCTTACGACTGTACATTAATACAATATATACAGAGTGCTTTGAGGCAATTGACAATGGCTATAGTCTGCTGCGGATCCAGTCTTATTTTGTTGCTTATAGAATATAATCGTTTAGAATAGTACATAGAAACAAAAAATAACATCAACTTCGTCCAGCTGTGAGGTGTTTGTAAATATGCGTAGACCGTACTTAGATTTTAAGTCGTAAACACTGCCTAATGAAGTATTTAGATGTAGTTTTAAGAATGTCTGCTATGTTGTATAATTAATATAGGCATTTTGTCATACTTATCTTGTAAATTGTTTTTTTTCCTTGAACACAACCTGTTAAACGTTTACGTGTAGCAGGAATGTAGCGCGTCTGTATAGTGGAAAGATTAAAATTTTCACGTGTCTCTATTCTATGGCTTTAGTAGTGAAGCAATTTTCTGTTCTTTTTTTCTTCTTCTCGTCTCCTTTCACACGGACTTCTTACCAGACATTGACATATTCTGAATTGCATTGTTGTTCACTTAAGAGCTATTTACAGAAAGCTGAACCAGCCTAGATTTGCAATATTAAACATGTGTTAAAACGCAACGCAAGTATGTAGTTCACGACTTAAAAGTTTGTATTTTTGAAGTCAACAATGTGGTTTTTGTACCGGAGACCGGTGTGATAATACGGTCTCACAAGTAACTGGTGTTAAGTAATCCTTTCGTTCCTTTTCACTAAGTGAGTGAGGTTAACGGAGCTCGCTTTCTATCAGGTGACCCGTCTGCTCGTTTGTCCCCTATTCCGTACAAAAAAAACACCTCTTCCCCTGATTCTGGTAAGGACTCAAAGGGTGGGAACGCACTTGTGTCTCCTGAGCTGCAGGTGTCCATGGGTGGTGGTAGTTACTTACCATCAGGTGATTCGTCTGCTCGTTTTCCCGCCTTTGCTATAAAAACCATTATTATAATATAGCCCTTTATTTCCAATCTAAAAATCATTGATATAGCTTGTATTTTCAAACATAAATCATCTATTACACATTTATTCACATTAAAATTAATATTATAAAACTAATTAAATTTCATGTTTGTTTCATGTGTAATGTTTAAAAATAAAAATAAAAATTTAATAGATCAATTTGCTGTCTTCAATACCATTGATCGGAACCCCTTCTCGGGTATAGGCCTCCTCCAGCTTTTTCCAGACCTCTCTGTCCTGGGCTTTCCCCATCCATTCGCTGCCTGCTATCACCTTTATGTCGTCTATCCACCTTGTTCTGGGGCGCTCTCTTCTCTTTTTCCCTGTTGGTCCTTCCCAAACAGTTGTCTTTAATGTCCATATTTTATCTGTGTGTCTTGCTATGTGCCCTGCCTACCTCCACTTCTGTTTTAGAGCATACTGTAAAGCATCTATGACTTTTGTTCTTCTTCTTATATGTGCACTTTTAACTTTTTGCATTCTTTTTATTTTGAGAATACTCCTTTCTATTGATTTCTGGCATACCATTAGTTTGGTTTTTATTTTGGTGTTATACGTCCAGGTTTGGCATCCATATGTGAGAGTAGGCAAGACACAGCTATCTAAGACGGTTTTCTTTAGGTGAAGGGGAAAATCTCCTTTCAGGATTTTCTTCATGGACCAAAACTTTTTCCAGCTGATATTAATACGCCGCTCAACCTCTTGTTCTTCATTTTTATCTTCGAATGATATTTGTTTCCCTAGGTATACATAGTGGTTCACATACTCTAGGGGCTTCCCATGTAGGTTTATAGGGTTTACGTGGCTAAAAACCATTATTACAACAATTTTGGTACTATTGTTGGTACTAGGAATATATTGCTGTATTATAGATGCCGCTGTAAAAATATTAAATTCGTAGTAAATTCAATCATTTGTCTAGTCATACATTTGTACATTGTTTCATACATTTGTACTGTTTTTCATACATTTGTACTGTTTTTCATACATTTGTCCATCGTTTCACCCATTTGTACAATTTTTCATACATTTGTTCATTGTTTCATACATTTTTACATCGTTTCATACATTTGTTCATTGTTTCATACATTTGTACATTGTTTCATACATTTGTACATTTTTTCATACATTTGTCTACTCAAATGTTGGTATTTAATAAAACCTCTATCATTTATTACCCCCCCTGCTATGAGTACACCTACCTCATTATTTCTCTGCATCGCCTGATCGAATGGCAGAGAATGCTTTAGGCATTAAGTCCGCCGATGAATATATTTGTGCAAAAATTTATAAAAATAAATAAATTCATAGACCAAACATCACAACCTCAATTGAAACTGGCTTGGGAAGCAAAAGGAAAAGAAGCAAAATTACTTCTAGAAAATTAGTACCAACCATTTGATTACGTCTTGAATACGTCTACGATTACGATTACGTCTGAATTCTTAATCCGTGTGGTGACGGATTAACAAAGGAAATGTCACCGCCCCCTATTCATCTTGTTGATGAACAGCAAACTACGCAGGACAACAGCACTGCAAAGAGAAGGAAAACTTGAAACAAACCACTATACCAACCCGTCTGGCCAGCGGGGTTTAGTAGGCACACCTCCTTTCTAATGAGAGGCCTATGTCCAGCAGTAGACTATTAAAGGCTGTTGTTGATGAATTGTTAGTACTAAATTACTTTTAATGGACTTTGCTATGGTTATTAAAGATAATGAGTTTGTTCTCATCGTAGGGAGGAAATTGAATTTTACAGCGACACGCTGGGTAAGTCATTATCGTTCGCATATAATTTTTAGATACAACACTGTAGACCGCACGGAAAAAAAAGAAAAACAAAAAAAAGACAAAGTTAATTTTAGAACATCCATTAAACTATTGATAGGGGAATCCCGTAAATGTGCTGTAATATAGCTCTTCTTATGAGTTAAAAATGGAAGTAAAATATAAAAATCTGTCAATTTTGTTGGTAAGCATACTTGCGATGATAAATTAAATATTTTCATAGCTAAATAAGGTACCTTGTTTTTGTTGATATGTCTATTTTGTATTTACGTACTACTTGACAATATCAAGAATTAGAAAGACACAACATCATTACCAGATACGATTGCATCATCATATAGGAGAAATTTAGGTAAATTCTTGACGTATTCGTGATTTCGTGACGCAGTGTTGAGCAGAATATGTACTAAGTTTATGAACCGTACTATTGACTTTTATTGGAAGAAAAGAGATTCTTGTCAAGCGTATTCTTATGAATACAAGTAGGTACTAATATTGAATATAAGTCATTACTTCTGTACCAAGATACTTCCTTTTAGATTACATATATCCAATTGCTGTGTCTGCTGAAGGCGGCTCCCAAGGAACTCACTCTAGTATGGTGAAACTTGATGGATGGTTTTTTAGAAGTTAATTAGACACCAAGATAATTTCTTTTTCAGATTATTTGTACGCAGTTACCGAGTCTAGTAAAAGCAGCTCCCAAGGAACTTCCCATAGTATGGTCAACTCTAATGGATTTATTGAACGACGTGGCCCTTAAGGTGGCTAAAGAGGCCAAAGGTGTCGGCAATATCATGAATGTATTCTTTCAAAAAACTGGACCATATTCTAGAGTTCTGTCTTGGGACATATCGGATTTTTAACGAATATTAGACGAGCCATAATCATTTCTACACAAAAATGTCACACATTCTACACTTTACATGTATAATTATTTTAATTTTGAGTAAACGGCAGTCTTAAGAGTGTGTTCTTTCAAAAAACTGCACCCTATTCTAGAGTTCTGTCTTGGGATATATCGGATTTTTAATTCAAACCAGAAAAAATTGGAACACAAAAGTGTATTTACCTTAGATTTGAAACGAATTAAAACCCTGTATATTGATAATATTTTTATTTATATAAATTGTTGCCCCGTTATCGTCACGATTACGCGCTAACAGTAAACTCGCTGTCAGCGCGTCTGCCAAGTCGCAGTCACAGAAGCGGCCTATCCTCTTGTTTACCGCTCGCAAACTGCCGGCGCACGTTTCAGGGGCGCAGACTATTCATGGGGCCCGATGACTCCGAGACGGGGGTAGTGCGGTCCTTGGCCCTTTATGGGCGGGGGCCCTGAGGTCCACTACTACGACGACCGCAGCGAGTGCTGGCCATCAGGGTCATAAGGTACCGCACGATCTCCTTTGCCGGCCGGAACTCCACCGTGGGACCTGGGGGCGAGAGCCCTTGCGATTCTATGTCAGTGGCGCAAGGAGGCGCGAAAGTTGGGTAGGAGTCCTGAGACTCGAGAAATCTAGGACCAAAAATCCGAACTCCACCGGGTTCTCGTAGAGGAGTGGAAGGGACGACTTGGGCAACCGAGCGAGAGTGCGTGGAACTCCGCCGTCTACTTCTGCAAGCAAGTTATGCTTGCGAAGGAGATGGCGGAGCAGGACCGGGAGAGGTTTAGAACTCTCCTGGCCCGCCAGGTACCGCAGACGACTCCGGCGCCGGAGGTCGCAGAACGACCTTCGTCCTCCATAAGCGCAGGCCTGGGGGCGACAGGTGAGGCCATCTGTCACCCTAGCAGAAGCAGGCCGGGGTGGCGGCGAGATGAGCTTCAGAGCGCGCGCGCACTTTCGAGAGCTCAAAGGGGACGTGGGGGTTCCGAGGTACGTCGGGGCACCAGGAATTTTCTTTCTAAGGTACACATGCTTGCATGACTACTGGTACCCGAGATAGGTACTTCCTTGTGTGCTCTAGCCACCGGGTCTGAGCAGATCCGATGGAAAGAGGCAGGACTGACTGACGCTGGTGCCTTGGAAGAATGGCAAGTGCCTGATCTGGGACGCCATATGCGTCAGCACTGTTGCTGCCAGCCACCTGTGTCGCAGGGATGGGGCACAGTGGTCTCTTTCTGTGAAGCTGTAATGCTCCAGAAAGATACCGCTGAACGGGATCGGGAGAGGGCCGATCCCGAACGTAAAGGACGTCGGCGCTGATAACAGCCGTCGAGAACGCCGCAGGCCGCCAGAGAGGGCACCTCTGGTGGCAAATTGATTGCTGCGGTAGGACATGGAATGGCCGGCCTGATTGCATTAAGATGCGATCGGGCCGCCATGCCGCGATTGAGGGGGAAATGTTCTCCCCTGGGATAGGGCCTGATTAGGCATGGTGTCAATTCGGGGTGGACCTGAAATAACATGGTCCGGGTCCTCCCCAGAGTAAGACACCTGAGGCCGGCCGTCGGGGTGGTTTTTAGTGGAATCACCACATACTCCTGGCTCATAGTCCCCGAGGAGCAGGAGATCCGAAGGGATTTTCCACCCCGTCAACAAAAAAAAAAGCCACCTGTGTCGCACCGTCCGTGCTCCGTTAGCCTCCCTCGGAAGACGCCTGTGTGAGGAAGAGGATAATGTACGCGCTTTTGGAGACGAATATTATTTCGTGCCAATAGCAGTTGAGAGCTTGGGCAATTGGGGTACAGACGCTAAGGTGTTTTTACATGAGTTAGGGCGCACGCTCGACGAAGTGACTGATGACTCCCGCTCAGGGTCGTTTATGGTGTAGAGGTTGGCCGTAGCCATTGAGCGTGGGAACGCAGCTTGCGGTTTTGGCACTTTCGCGCTGGGAGCGACCAAGGGTGGCTTATTTAATATATAGATAATTTTAGTTTTATTTACTAGGAATCAATCAGTGTATTTTATATTTGTAATTAATAAAATTTGTAATTAGTTAATGTTTTCACAAAATTATACCGGTTAAAATTGAAATTATAAATATAATAAATAATACCTTGTAATTTAAAAGGATACCGATACAGATTATATAATAGTTGAAAGAAAAGTTATTAAATGAAAAAAGCTCCTTAAGTAGGTTTACAACAACGTACAGGTTCGTGAGTTTCACTTACAAAATTATTTACAATTTGTTAATAATAAATTTGTGTTTTTTTTTTCCTATTTTGTAAATACATTGATATTTTAAAGAAGATACGTTATATTCATACTGCACGCACAAAATAGTTGTTCCGTAACCGTATATACATACACTTCTTAAAGCATTTTAGAACAAAACATACACTTAGGTACCTGTGGTATAATATTCGTTTATCTTTATTTACTTTTTTGTCGTAATTTGTTCACTTTTGGAATACACATTTATGATTTTTTTCGAATTAAATATATATATATATATATATATAGTATATAGCAATGGTCCTAATAAGGACTCGCGATTTGTGCGTTGGTAATTTAATTTGATATACGAGTAATATCATTGGGTTAATATTGTCTTAAAATCTGCATTATTATTTGATAAGAAACGATAACAATGTGTGTGGCCGATACGCTGAGTGTTGGGGGTCCGATCCCCACACGGGACAACACTTTGTGTGATCCACAAATTGTTGTTCTGAGTCTGGGTGTTCTTTGTGTCCGTTACATGTATGTTTGTAAAGTCCCCCGCGACACTGGATATGTTCCTAATGCGGTAGTTCTTTTTTTTTTAAAAGAACATTATTTTATTTATATTATACTAACTTTTGCCCGTGGCTCCGTCCGCCTGTATATCGGTTATCACGATAAAAAGTAGCCTATGTTACTCGCTGATAATGTAGCTTTCCATTGGTGAAAGAATTTTTAAATCGTTTTAGTGGTTTAAAGCGTAATAAACAAACAAACTTACTTTCACATTATACTTAATATAGGTGTGGAAGTATGGATACGTAAATGATGATCGGTATTGATTTACGTAGACTGGATACTACCATATTTGCTTTCACATTTTCCCATTAAAAATTAGATTTGTGTGGTTTTTTATGGATGAGCAAGTGTAATTTCACTCGGATAACCGCATTCACTCGGTTATCACCGGTTTTCCGGTTCGGGTGGTACCTTTCGCTCCGAGCCTTTCCCATGAAATGAATGTGTTGCAACCCTACATTGAAATATTCCCCATTGCATTATTGTTCACTTAAGAGCAATATACCTGACATACGAGGTCACGATGTCAAAGTACCCGCATATGAGATATCAGGCTACAAAGTAACGTTTCGACTGCGCGGCCACGTACTTACTGATTTTGTTTAACTAAACCTTGGTAGTGTTTATTGCTTTCATTAGTTTTGACAAATTAAGACCTTTCTTCTTGTGTCAGTTTTACTGTATAAGTTAAATTTTAAACAAGTGTACGATTGCGCGGCCATAACTTCCAAGGTGAATATTTCGTAAAATATTGATATATAACTTCATCAACATCAACAGCCTATACTAGTCCACTGCTGGACATAGGCCTCTCCTTTGAAAGGAGGTTTTGGCCTACTATACCACGCTGGCCAGACGGGTTCGTATAGGGTTTGTTTCAAGTTCTCCTTCTCTTTGCAGTGCTGTTGTCCTGCTTAGTTTGCTCCCTTAGTCGGCTCTTACGACACCCACGGGATGAATTGGGGTGGTGACAATTTGTATTCTTAATCCGTCACCACACGGACTATCCGTCACCACACGGACTGATATATAACTTATAATTCTTTTTTCGACAAATTTATTCTTGAAATTACAAAAAGAATTAGATGTCTAACCTAAGTAGGTAGTTGCTGAGATTTCCGTAGCGTAGAAATACTCCGTTTCGTTCGCGTTGCCGACTTAGACCCTGACAACTTCTTTGTTTCTACTTTGACAAATTTTTAGTTTGATCCCTTCGATTTTGACAAATTTCGAAAAAATTTTGGCTAAGTTTTTTTTTCTGTGTCGGTAACGTGGCGGAGCAATCGAAACACACGCATTACAGGATAATTGTCGATACTTAATTACGTCTTCATGGACTTTGCTATCGATAGTAAAGATAATGAGTTTGTTCTCGTAGTCGGCAGAAAATTACCTTTTACTCATATCTCAGTAAGTCATTATCACTCGCAATTCATATTTTGTTACTAAGCCATCGTGTTTGTATTGTCGACTATTTTTAAACATCGATTGGGGAATGCGCTATTATTTATCTCTTCTTCAGTGCAGAAAAAAATGGAAGCACAATTTAGAAAACTGACGTTTTTAGTGGTAAGCACTTTGGATGATATGAATTTAATACTTTTTTACCAAAATAAATTACCCTATTGTACATAGATAAGTCTATAGGTATATATATGTATATACCTACATACTATGAAACATAAGAAGACGTGACTTTGTATTTTTAGGGCGTTTATCAGTATTTACAAAAAAAAAACAAAGTTATCCAAAATGACTGATTTCGAAATTTTTATTTTTTATTTGTGAATGTATACTTTCTGTTCGGTCCCGGTCGGTGTTAGTTTAATTAATAAAGATGTAGGCGTCTTGAATACTTTAGATACCAAGATAATTTCTTTTTTCAGATTATTTGTACGCAATTACCAAGTCTAGTAAAAGCAGCTCCCAAGGAACTACCCATTGTATGGTCAACCCTAATGGATACATTGAACGACATCTCCCTTCAGGTGGCTAAAGAAGCCAAAGCTGTTGGCAATATCATGAATGTATTCTTTCAAAAAACTGGACCGTATTCTAGAGTTCTGACTTGGGATATATCGGATTTCTAACGAATATTAGACGAGCAAGAATCATTTCAACACAAAAATGTATAACTTTACATGTATAATTATTTTAATCTTGAGTAAACAGCAGTCTTAAGAATGCTCTTGTTGTAAGACGTAGCTCGTTCATACTAAATGAATTAACATAAAAATACGTTTTACAATGATTTTGAACGGCAAGCGACTTACCGCAGTCTAGCCTCACTGGATCGTCAATATACTGTCACAAGCACCTTGGTTATCGCATAGGTACTTAAAATAAATGGTCAGCGCCGATACTGGGCGTTTTAGCGACAGCAATTTACATTAACTATTTGGGCAGTAGCGTCTGAGCGAGCGGTATACAAGAAGCGTCTTTACCGACAGCGACTATACGTCGACCTTCCTGTTTGGCTGTTTTCCCATGGTAATGACGTTGGCAACAATTACGTAAATAAAATATTGACTAACGAGAATTTAATCTCAAATAAGATATTAATGAATAGTCTTAAGTCTGCACCAACGAAGTTAGCGCGAGTAGTACCGCAGAACACAATTTGTATGTACCTATTAGAGGGGCAAGTCCGCGCATCTTAAGAGGACGGGGGGCAAGACTGCACGTGTCCGCCGACGCTTTGCACCGCTTCAAGGTCAGAAGTAATGTCACTGCTTTGCTCTAAAGTACTGTTATGTACGTAATTGTTATGGTTTCTGTTATTTATTTATTTTGTTTGCGTTTGATATTTTTGTTGTACGCTTTATATGCGTGTCTCAAAATACCGAGACGAAACTCCGTATTAAAAAGGCAGGCAGAACGTTTTTAAAGTAGGTATAACACTATTTAAAAGCAGAATCACCACAAGGAGTTAAAAACAATTAGGTACCTCCGTTAAATGAACTGCGTAAGCTGGAGTGGGACTGTCCGCACTGTACAAAATATTTAAGGAAAAAAAATGTGAATTTGCTCCAATATTCCGAACGCCTGGTATAAAACATAAAAGCAGTTAGTTCCTACCAACCTTTTTGATTTTCTGCCATTATTCATATGATAAATTATTTTGTTAATTTGCCAACTGAATATTAAATATAATTCTAGAAGTCCGAAGTTGTTTCCAAAAACTTCATAATATGTATTTTCGTTTTTTGCCATAGAGAATCAATGAAAAAAATAGTAGAGAGTCGATGCTATGCGAAGCAATTTTAGCGACGGAGCAAGGTCTTTAAAAAATAGGTCTGAATATTTAAAAAAATATATTTGATAATGACTTAAAGTATAACTACACTGAAGACCAGCAGGTTTAGAAAAGAAACAATAAAATAAAAAGTAATTCAAACTAAAGAAACATTTACGTGAACACTACATAAAGTAAAAATTATACAACATACAAATTAAACAGATGCATTATAATGAACACTGTATGCCTTGATAGCCCTACAGCGAGTAGCGTCAAGAATACAATAAAAAAAAATTCATTATTCTCAAAACTAAACCAACATTTTGTTTAGGAAATTCGTTTGAACTATTTTTTTTATGGAATATGGGTCAAATGAGCAGACGGATCACCTGATAGAAAGCGACCACCGCCGCTCATGAACGCCTGCAACTCAGGAATCACAAGCGCGTGCCAGCCTTTGAGGAAGGAGTACGCTCTTTTCTTGAAGGTTTGAAGGTTGTATCGATCCGGAATTACCGCAGCCGAATTTAAGAATGATTGAAATTCACCAATCTCTTAATAATAATAAAATGTAGAATTTATCTTGTATAACTATTTAATGATTGTACAATCAAATAATGTACTATGTACATTTACAAACCTGTATCTAATTTTATATTTACACACTGATTAGAGTTCATTGTTGAATAACTAAAGAAATCTTAGAAATATTTATTGATGTATATATGAGCTATGAACTATTTTGTTTAAAAAAATGTGTTTACCGAATAAAAAAGAGTTTTGGAATAGATTTCATAACAAGTATATATTCAGTTTTTATTAGAAGACTCCCTTGGGCTAGTCGAACGCAGTTTTTGTGTTCATTCTGTCTTCACCTATTTCCTTGCTTTTCTGTGGGTCTTGTCCATATCAGCAAAGAAAAAATCCTAGTATACAAAGGCGCTATATACAAAGCATGTACATAACCAGTTTTGAATTATTTATTGATTCGAATGTTATATCACTTGGTGATATTATTCGAGATATTGGTGCTAATTCTAATAATTTGTTCGACAACTCTCTAAACTAAAAATTAGTTTAGTCCTGTCAAGTACTACGTTTCCAGAATACGAACGATATTTGGCAGGACTGAACCATTTTTTTGTGATTTTTAAATTGCCGTTGTGTAATTTAACGCTAAAAGCGAGTTTTTTCGGGGACAAACGAGCAGATAAGTTACTTGACGGTAAGTGACTACCGCCGCTTATAGACATCTGTAACTCAAGAGACAAGTGCGTTGTCGAGATTTGTGCCCCATTTCAGAGGCATATTTGGGGTTTGAGCCTCTTACAACCTCACTCTGTCGGTGAACAGCAATAAAATACCAACACAAATACCACATACAAAATATCGAAAGTTATTTTTTTACTGTCACCTTTACGTGTCACTTCATCGCTACTATTGTACCACTGACACTAAATAGCACCACCACACAAGAGTGACGCAGTTAACGCCAATATCATTGTTTCCCACGTTTGCCGGGTGGCTTCTGGAGCTGGAAGCCACTTGTGTTATCAGTTTGAGAGATCCCAAAGCCACTTGTGTTCAATGATGTGTTGAAACTTGATTGGGGTTGTGGCTGCCAGGATGGACCTGTTAGATAGAGGTAGATTATTTACATGGTGTCAAGGTATAAGTGTATAATTGTTTAAGAAAAAAACTATTTGTGAACTTAAAAGTAAATGCCATCTTTACTAAGCCAGATCTCTAACATCTTAGCTTAATGATGTTGGATTATTGAATTGTCATTCAAACTAAATATTATACATACTTTTATTTCGATATGATTAGAAGTAGGTTAAAATTTACTTCAAAGGTATTTTACAGACACATAATGTTGTTTTATTTATTTTTTGTTTCTGCATATTTTGTTTTCATTGATATACAATTTTAAGAGCAAATTTTTGGTTATTGAAATATTGATTTTATGAACGAAGTCATTTATATTAGATAAATACATATTATAGATGTTTAAATATATGTATATTACCAAACATAACATATAAAATATTTGTGGATTCTTTTGCTTACGAATAGAAAAAATATTTATGACGTACTTTTGTTGTTAATGTGTACACAACATAATTATGAAAATGTAAAAAAAAGTGTTTTCACCACACTCCGACATGTGCCCTCAACGTGAAAATATTTTTAGTGTTGTTTTACTCTATGAGAGTAGATAAAAAAAAAACTGTGACAGTAATGACTTTTGTTACCTGTGGTGTCGGCTGTTGGGAACGGCGATAGAGCACTTCCTACGTAAGTGAACGGTGTTGGTCCAGCTAAATGTTGCAAATTGCCTGCAAATATAATTGTATAGATAGAACATTCTTTATTTTACACTATTAATAACATATAGTTACATCTTATCTTACAAATCGGCGTATAACCCACTATCAGACCGCCTTTAGGTAATTAGAAAGATTTAATAAAATCATATTAGTTGAAGCCATACGACTGAGGACATAGGCAAATATTAAAAATATGTATAATGTGTACAATGACTTCTCTTGCACAATCCGTGTTGTGACAGATAAAGAATACGGAGTGGCACTATTGATCTCGTAGGTGTCGTAAGAACCGACTAAGGGAGCAAACTACGCAAAACAATAGCACTGTAAAGAGAAGGAAACCTTGAAACAAACTATACCAACCCGTATGGCCAGAGTGGTATAGTAGGCAAAAACCTGCTTCCTAAGAAGAGGCCTATGTCTAGCAGAGGACTGTTAAAGGTACTGAGGTAACTCAGGGACTTGCACTACTCTACTAGGTTTCTAACTTGTTAAATCACAGAAGCAATGAGTTGCACTATAAGCTGGAGACTGCCCATGTAATGAATATTTTACACCTGCGATTATTCTATCTCATGTATGCATATAAAGTATCGTAAAGGGGTAAATAGTTTGATACAAATTTAAACCACAGTTAATTTAAAAAATATATAAAATGACTCGATGAAATAATGTGTCAACATCTGGTGAATTACCTAGCGCAGCCCTGGGGTCGGACAGCACGGCGCTGTTGTGGCTAAGGTCAGGGACAGTGCCCGACTTCAGTTTCTTTCTATTGCCCTCCGCATCCCGCAGTATTTGGTCTAAGCTTGTAGTCGCTGAAAACATTTAATTAACATTATAGATTATCTACGAGTCATTTTTTTAGTGATTACTGAATATCAATGTAATATATAAATAATAAAACACTTGTTAATTGGTAAGCGCATTAATTAAAAACGGCTGTACTTTAATAGTCCATAAGGTTTGTATAGTAAAATATATACATTCTACTTTAACCCCTTGAATCCCGCGGACATGAATTCACGCCAACGAAAAAGTACCGTTGATTCCCGCGACATGAATTCATGTCCTAGTGTCGCGCGTCAAATAGTATCGGTTTTTATGACATTACGATTTCTTTTTGACTTTGTCAACTCGACTAACTGATGCATAGAAGAACAATCTTGCAATTAACACTTTCAATTCACTATTTGTAATAGAAAACAAAGACGATATTTGACATTTCATTTGCCGGCAATTCGTGGAGAGTTGTGTGTAAAAGACGCGTGAGATTTTGTGTTTTGGTGTTGTTTTTTCTGATATAATCGGTAAGTAATGTTCATTTATTATTAGTACATATTGTTTTAGACTGATATTACTCACAACATAAGTATTTTTTATGATTCAAGTTATAAAAATCGAACAAACAAAAAATCCTTCGTCTAATCATTGTTGTTAGTTTGGATTTCCAATAAGATAAAAAGAGTGTATTTCTTGTTGGAATACGATTGAAAATACTTATCTTATAGTAAAAATCTTCTAGAAGCTATTTTGATCAGTAGTTTTTTATATAAATCTGTACCTTTCGTTATTTTCTTAGAAAACGGTGCAAAGTATCAAAATCTCACGCACACATTTGCATCGTTCTTATATGTGTGCGTGCACTCAAAAATAGCCACTGGTCTAACTATTACACAAGATGTTCTTTTTTTGTTCGACTGGTACTTTTTTTCATACCGCATTGTACATTGACATTATTTATTTGAATGTTGTATACTAATAATAGTTTATTACAAAGAACCCGTACAAATACTAAACTACACATCCTATCTTATCGTGTTAGGGCTCGTTGGATTCGTCATGTCAAGGATTGTCTCCCTAGATGGTATCCAGGGTCTGATGATGGAGTCAGCAGGTGATGGGACGGAACTCCTAAGGTACACATCCTATCTTATCGTGTTAGGGCTCGTTGGATTCGTCATGTCAAGGATTGTCTCCCTAGATGGTATCCAGGGTCTGATGATGTAGTCAGCAGGTGATGGGACGGAACTCCTAAGGTACACATCCTATCTTATCGTGTTAGGGCTCGTTGGATTCGTCATGTCAAGGATTGTCTCCCTAGATGGTATCCAGGGTCTGATGATGGAGTCAGCAGGTGATGGGACGGAACTCCTAAGGTTCACATCCTATCTTATCGTGTTAGGGCTCGTTGGATTCGTCATGTCAAGGATTGTCTCCCTAGATGGTATCCAGGGTCTGATGATGGAGTCAGCAGGTGATGGGACGGAACTCCTAAGTCACACATCCTATCGTATCGTGTTAGGGCTCGTTGGATTCGTCATGTCAAGGATTGTCTCCCTAGATGGTATCCAGGGTCTGATGATGGAGTCAGCAGGTGATGGGACGGAACTCCTAAGTCACACATCCTATCGTATCGTGTTAGGGCTCGTTAGATTTGTCGTGCCAAGAGCTTTCTCATAATTTTATTGAGTTTATGCTTGAAGCTGGACATTGTCCTTTGTCAAGCAGTGAACGCATTCCAGATGAGATAATGCATTATTTAACTAATTTGTTGTTTTTTTTTTTTCATCTCAAGAAAAATGGCTGACAACCAACCAGAACCGAGTGGATCAGGCCGACGCCTTCTCCCGCACCCCGTATCACTTGATGGGACGGCAGGGGTAGAAGATGCGACGATTTGTGTAAGTACACATGAAAACCAAAGTGTGTGTTTCATATTTCTGTTTAACTATTGTACCCTAATTTGCTTCAATATTCTTTTTAGCCCTGGAGAACCGATGAGACGCCAAATCGCAAGCGGTCGTCGGCGGGTACCGTATTTGAGGGGTCCCCAAAACGTCGTCGCACCATACAGCTCAGAGATGAAAACATAATTAATCTACTCTACGACTCTGGGAGCGACGAAGGGGATGACTTTGAGGATGGCAATGACGAAGACGAGGATCTTGACGTCATCAACTTTATGGGCCTCCGTCAATATACCCGCCAAATGCGAAACCGCATCGTGGTGACGGATCCAGAGGATGGATGGATTCAGAAAAATGATGCAAATGTGGAGAATGGCCACGATGTAAGTATGAATGAGAGAATGATCAATGTGCAAGTAGAATGTGAGCGGATGGATGAAGAAGTGATTCATGAAAATGTGGATGTGGTGCATGAAAGTGATGAGAATACAAGAGGAAGGGCTGGAAGTCATGAAAGGGAAAGTGGTGAAAGGTTTGAAAGTAGCGAAAGGTCTGATAGGTATGAAAGGGCGGAGCAAGGGCGGGCACGCATGAATCCGACTTTTTCTTGGTCGGATGAATTTTCAACTTTTAACGCCCAGAAAGAGACGTATACACGCGATCCCGGTCCAGCATTTTCGTCCCATGATCCCGCGGAATATTTCTACCAAGTCTGGGATAGCGAGTTCATGGAGCTGGTGGTTAGAGAGACTAATTTATATGCATGGCAAATTATCTCACAATTTTCCGACCCTGATCTCGATGCCGAGATTCCAAAGTACTTGGAATCTTGGACCGAGATCACGGTTGAGGAACTATATAGATACTTCGCCGTGCTAATATTGATGTCTTTCTGCCTCCGCTCCAATATTCGCGAGTACTGGGAGACGGGGATAATGGGCATGCCAGAGTTCCGCGAGATTATGGGGCGGAACAGGTTCCAACTGATCAGCAAATTTTTGCATTTTACTTCGAATGAAAGTTTGCTGACCAGTGGGCATCTCAGAAAGATTGAAAAAGTTGCACCAGTTGTGGCACATTGCAATAAAAAATTCAAAGACTTATACACTCCTGCACAACATCTTAGCTTAGACGAGTCCTTACTGTTATGGAAGGGCCGTCTAAGCTGGAAGCAGTGTATTAGGTCGAAAGCTGCAAGATTTGGCATCAAATCTTTCGAGCTTTGCGAGGCGGAGACTGGGTACCTCCTCCAATACCGTCTGTACACCGGGAAGAGTACAGACCAATATCCAGATCCCATACATGGGTTTCAAGACCACACAGCTAAGATTGTCTTGGACCTCATCGATGGGTATTTAGATGTTGGTCATGTACTTGTCATGGACAATTGGTATAACCAATTGTTCATGACTAGGTACCTCAAATCCCGGTGTACGGACGTATTGGGGACTTTGAACCGTCGGCGTAATGGCATACCACCAGCTGTGAAGGATATGATGCCAAATGTGCCGCGAGGAACTACGGTATATAGACATTCCGGTGACATCAGTTTAGTTTCTTGGAAGGATGTGAAGGTGGTCACCGTAATCTCTACATACCATATACCCGAGATGGTTCCGGGGAGACGCGCGGGACAGGCGATCATGAAGCCGGCGGCAGTAACCGAGTACAACAAGTACATGGGGGGTGTAGATCTCAAGGATCAGAAACTTTCAATGTTTCTGATCGAACGAAAACGAAACCAGAAATGGTATATCAAAGTGTTTAGAAGGCTGTTTAACACCAGCCTTCTAAACACTTACATAATGTACACCAAAAACCCCATGTACCACGTGTACTCCCACCGCCAATTTCGGCGAATGGTCGTCCATGGGCTTTTGAGCCGGTACCCTCGCGTATCTTCAGGACCACACAGAGCACCGAGCACACCGCAATTGCTTCAACGTCTTGAACCAGGACAACACTTCCCTGTCCACACGGAGCTTGCCTCACGGACCCAAAAGGCGAAACACAAGCAATTACGTTGTGCTCGGTGCGCTGCTCAAAATCGACGCGTTTGTGTCACACTGATGTGCAAAGTGTGCAAGGTAGCGTTGTGTGTAGGTGCATGTTGGGAAGAATACCACACATTGGTAAATTTGTGAGTGATTGTTTGAGCGTGTAGAACGGAGATAAAAGTTGTTTGCATCATTTCTCTAGCTAATACAATTTTAATATATTTTTATTCTTTTTTATATTTCAATATATTTTTTATTTATACCATAAGGTTTTTTATTGTACCAACATATGTTTTAGTACCTCCTTACCATTTCCACTGCATGCACTCACTTTTTTCTCTCACAAAACTTAGTTTAGCGTCAGCGCTTGGTCGACCGCCGTGCGGGTGCTACTTAGATTTTTCCATGACAGTAAAATATTTCTCCATACTAAAAACCCATGTCCTTCCTTATCTAATAAAAATAAATTTAGTAGACGTAAACTATCCCCTTTCCACCTACCGAACATACTGACATACTTTTGCATTTATAATAAGAGTAGAAATAATATTCCCTTATTTTACCATTTGATAAAACAATAAAAAACACTACACCTGAATAAATATTATGAAAGTCAAACAAACACACAACACCAAAAAACATCACACACAGCACCATCACCGATTCGAACAAACAATAGGTAACCATTTTACTATCAATCAAATATCACGTGATCATTTCACTATAAATTACATATTATTTTCAAAAATAGAACACGCTGTTTATGACAGTGTGTTTACACGAAATTTGACCTTGAACTACATCGCTGCGTCGCGTCTCATTGTATAAAAACGAATACTTCGTAAACGTTTTGTGATAAGCTTTTGTATAATAAGTGTATATGTATTTTAGTTCAATAAGTTTATAATTTCTTATTCTAATTGAGAAATGTATTAGTTGACCAAAGTAAAACGTTTATCATACATAAATTCGATCAAAACCAAACCCATAAGCTTTTTATGAAAATATACACCGTTTGTGATGTTTAGTCGTATTATGAAAAATCTATTGCTCTGACAGATATGTAAATCATAATCAACTATTTTTGAATGTTGAGTCTATATGATGGTATAAAAAAAAATACAAATATGCATTTATTACATTCACAAAAATGTTTTGAAAATGAGCTCTCGCCGCGCGCGAAATTTGTTTCTAGTCGAATTTTTACTATATTTTTGCAAGTAAAAAAGCGAATTCCTATAATGTATACATGCATTTTTTTTTCTGTTTAGTAAAGAGTATATTTATAACAACGTAAAAAAGTATAAAAACTATACTAAAACTCTAATGTATGTCATCATAAAACAGATTTATTGTCAACAAAGCCGTTTTTTTTACATTACTTCGAAACAAAAGGCCGTAAAAAACTAAATAAACATTTAAATGTTATTGTTTTCATTTAGTCTTATTGATCATCTCACTAGCTTTTGAGAACAATAACGAGACTGTACTTACAACATTAACAAAACCTTGAAATACGGTCTCAAGTGCAACGGCGCGCTGATGCGCCAATTACGTTTACGAGCGCGGGACTTAGCGAAAACGCGCTTTTGAGACGCCCGGTACCTCAAGGGTTAATAAATAAACAAAAAAACTTGATTTTATAACAAAGTATTAAGCAATTATGTATACATACAGGAGTTGACGCAATATTTGCCCGATGTTTTGATCCTTTTGCAATTGAAAATTATTTAATATCGTTAGAACAAACAATTAAAATTCCGTCAGGACAAGAGCTGTCGCGTCAGATAGTGCTTCATCAAGTCCGTGTAGTTACGGATTAAGAATACGGAATGTCACTACCCCAATTCAATCCGTAGGTGTCGTAAAAGCCGACTAAGGGCGCAAAACAACGCAGGACACCAGCACTGCAAAAAGAAGGAAAACTTGACACAAACCCTATACCAACCCGTCTGGCCAGAGTGGTATAGTAGGCCAGAACCTCTTTTCTAAGGAGAGGCCTATGTCCAGCAGTGGACTATTACAAGATAGTACTTATATAATAAAAATTAGAAGGTTAACTTACGATACGGCGCATCGAACACATTTGTGGGGTCCTTGAGTATATACTTGCGCAAATTAAGATATTGCTCTTTCTGAGCCTCAACTTGCGTGTGTACGGCTTGTAGGCGGCCTGCTAATGCGACTAGTGACTCGTGCATCCGTCTTATGCCTAATGTTAATTCTGAAAATGGATTAATTAAGTCCATTTATGATACATCAGACAAAACCTGTAACTAAATATAAAATACATACATGTATGTACAGAAGGGTTTGGTTTCGAATGGTCACATAGCTGTGATTATTTCTTCACAATAGGCTTGTGTCCAGTAATAACAAATTGCTACGTTTATAGTTTAAAATATAAATGAAGAGACAGATATAAGAAAAAAAAACAGTCTGTTTCTCATAAAAGTTAAAGATTATTAATATTTTAATAAAATATACTCGTACAAAATAGGCATTAAGGCACGTGACAGCTAACACCAATCAGAAAGTGTTACGTCACGCCACGCAAAACATCATTCTTGTTGTTGACGTTTTCATAAAACAGAGCAGGTACTCCTTTTCCTTATCCATTTTTAAAAACAGTTGACACTGGACACAGATGTAAACTGTTTTATTTCGCAGACTGTGCTATCATTCAAGACGCAAGACGAAGGAAATTTAAATTGTTTTTGTTTTTAATACAAAATACGTAATGTAAATATTGCTTATTCTTTAAAATATAGGTTTTTTGGGATAAAATAGAATATAATTAACCAAGTTTTCAAATTGAATCAACTAGCCCATTATACAGATGTAATAGACACATAACTTACTGGTACTTAAATATACACATTACTTATTCTTTAAACGCATAAATATAACCAAAATAGAAAGAAGAAATTCTTTTCGATGAGTTTACAGGGCAGTCTTGTGTAGCTGTACTACTGAATGGAGTCGATACATATTTTTATTTTAGGCACAGGTTACCCCTCAGGCCAGTATTTCTAGTGGTTAGTTATCTAAGTGATGAGCTAGGGTTTTAACAAGACCAATTAATATATGATGAGCACATTTATTTAATATTTTATTAGTTATTGTCCAGTGTCCCTGTACACCACACTAATTATGGTAAGAATGCTGTTCTCACTCGCTTACCTAGCTGTTATAATGATAATTTTGATGACATTGACATCTTCCACCTCTCACTACTTGTAAATCTGCATTAAGATTGTTCTCTATGTTATTTTCTGTCAGAAAACTCTCTCCGCACAATATACCTAAATTAGTTTATTTTTTATGGTATAAGGGGGCAAACGAGCAGACGGGTCACCTGATAATAAGCAACTACCGCCGCCCATGGACAGTGGACAAGTGCGTTGTTGCCCTTGGAGTCCCTCCCACTCGAGTCAGCGGGGAGGGGGGATTTGGGCTTCGGTAACCTCACTCATTCAGTGAAAGGCAACAAAAGAATTGCTTAAAACCGGTTTACTGTGAGGCCGTGGTATCACTCCGGCCGAGCCGGCCCATTCGTGCCGAAGCATTTCTCTCCTACTTAATAGTAATACGAAATAGTATTGGTGCACGCCATTTTACTTATCGGTAATTCATTGCTATCTTTAACTTTACAAATGCGATATGTAACATAGCTGTTAAGTTTCTAATATTTTTTAAATATGTATGTATTTAGAAAAATTTAAGTATGTTTATCAGCAGTTTGTTACCATAGCACAAGCTCAGGCTAGGTTGGGATCAGATGGGTGTGATGAGATGTGAAAAGTTATTATTATTTGTAGTGGTTTCGAGTGTAATATGTCTATAATATGTATCAGCAGTCTGCCTAATTTGGTATCAGATGATTTTTTGTGAGGAATTTCAAATCGTTATTGTAATGAAACGTTAAGTTACGCATAAAAATGTAGGTGTTACCTTGTTCCGTAAGCAGTTTCGGAGATGATTGCATTTGTTTGTCAGCAACTTCCATCTGTCTTCTGAACGTAATAAGCTGCTGTTCCAATTCCGATATCAACTCTTTGACATAGTGAGGTGGAGCCGTGCCTTCTAGTTCTAGACCTAGAAACGTAGGTAAAATATAAGTTGAAATCGACGAGTGCGTTAAGGCAATTTTCATTCAGAACAAATAATGCGATGGGCATGATCATTTGATCTGCGTTTGGATGTTATTTATTTATAATATAAACGTGTTTACAAATATTTAAGTATGTTAAAAGCGGGCCGGTTACTATAGCACAGGTTCGTTGCCGTGTGTAAGATGGTGAAGATATAGATACTAATTTTTCAACATGGAATGTCGAAAATGTCTCACGTGGATCACGGTATCGAATATAGAGTGGCGAAGCGTACCGGGGGCGGTGTAGTCCCTGCTGGCGGCCTCTGCGGCGGCCAGCGCGGCGGCGGCGGCGGCCCGCAGGCGCCGCGAGTGCGCGCGGCCCCGCGCCACGTCCCCGCACAGCGCGCCCGTCGCGCGCAGCGTCGCGTCCGCCTCGCGCGACACCTGCACCACGGTACAACAACTGTCAGTGGATGCGATACCCGCAGTGAGAGACGGATACCCGTTTCATTCATTAACCCCTCATGTTAGCCAGCCGACCACAGAGCTCGACTAGAAGAGATGGAGGCATATATCTATTGTCCATATCTCTCGTTACCTATGTTGCAAAATAAAGGCTTTCGTTCTATGCTTATTTTATATTTTTGTCAACTACCAAATAATACCGCACTACACGTTTGACTGCACAGATGGCGCAGTGGTTTAAGTGGTCGCCACGCCGCTTCCTACTGCGCCGAGTGTTGTGGGTCCGATCCCCACATGGGACGACACTTTGTGTGATCCACGGGTTGTTGTTCTGAGTCTGGGTGTTCTTTGTGTCCGTTTCATGTATGTTTGTAAAGTCCCCCGCGACACAGGATATATTCCTAATGCGGGAGTTGTCTTTTTTAAAATAAATATAAAATAAAAAATAAATACAAATTCCAAGGGAGGGTGTACACCCCCTCCTCCGAAATACTTTACTTACATTTTTTTGAATTTTATTGTGTAAAATATTATTTAATTCTCTAGTTTTAATTTTTAGTTTTGAATGAGTAGCCGCAATGAAGCAGAAGCTCTATATGGTCCAACAAAGTTCATTTATTACGTTGCAATGCATATACGAACGAAACAAACTTCGACATCTTAAAACTGGTGTAGACTTACACAACAGAGTGAGTAGTTAAAAAATCAATCAAATGTTTTAATTTCGTTTTCCTCGCATATTTTTGAAGTAAATTTATTTACGCACACTTGACATGTTACAAAAAGTGTACTCAGGCGAGGCGAACGGAAGTTGAGAGGGAGATATAAATTAGTGAAGATAGAGAGAGAATTACGTTTCGTATATTACTGTAGGGGCAAGAGAGAGAGGTGCGAGCACACATTTTCTTTCTCTCTTTTTTAAGTTTCAAGAAGTTTTACTTCAACCGTCTTCGTTTTCGGAAGAGTTTCCTGAGTCGCACTGGCCGTGGTCAACAACTAAGCTTTGTAATACCTATTTAATGTTAAAATTAGTCATCAAGTATTTTAATAACTCACCTTGTGTAGAGGCTTTATTGATACTCGCATGACTTCCGAACTCAAAGACTTCTGTTTCTTAACAAACTCTTTGAACGAGTCCACTGTAGTTGATATTTCATTGGGCAATTTATTTTGTTTTGGAGGCTCACCTTAAAAACAAGGAGATTTATTACCAACAGTTTACAATAAAAAAGATAGTCTTACAGTCGCACATGATGTATAACATCTGAGGTCCTAGTGTGATTTTTAGGGTTCCGTACCTCAAAAGGCAAAAAAAAACGGGTCATGTACGAGTCGAATTAGTGCGTCGAGGATTCCGTACCTACCCAGATTTTACGTAGATTTTTGCGAAAATTTGTAAGTACCAAAATTTATCTTAATTTTCAACTTTTTTTATTTTTTGGAATTATTCCTTTATTTTGCCCATATCTTTTTATCGTGTTGACTCAGGACCTTGATTTTTATACACCTAATAGGGACCATAGACCTCAGTATCTGGTATAAATTTCAACTTGCAAGGTCTACCCGTTCCTGAGAAAATCGGTGGTGTCAAACGATTCGATCTTAATCGAGTTTATTTAATAAACTAACACTAAGCCCTCTAACATCTCACCTACCAACTGAAGGCCAACAACGCGCGTTTATTGGTCAAATCATATTTCGCTTGATGAGATGAGACGAGACAATGAGAAAAACTAGATCGCATTCACTCCTACAGACTGCAGGAAAGTGAAAGATATTATTTTATTTTAAAACAGTTACAGAAACTGACAACAGATAATAGCATTTTAACATACATATTATGAACCTGACATCCTATTACATATATACACATCATTTAAAAGTTAACATTCTAATAACATTCTAAAGGTGATAGCAGATAAGTATGATTGAATGGATGAAAAATGTTATATAAATCTTGGTTGAATAGTAACTGTTTTCTTTTCATTTGTTTTCCTTTTCCTAAAATTGCCTAGTATAAATTAATTATACCAAGAAATACCAATTATACCAAGAAGTACCAATACCAAATATAAAGTAATTATACCAAGAAACCAATAAAAAAACCAAGACTGAAATAAAGTATTATTGTAAAAAAATAGAGATTAGAAACAGTAATGTTGTTGCACATCAGGACTGAAAAATGAAAAGAGGCCAACAGCATCTTTGGGTAAATATTCCTTCTGTTTAATTCTTAATTCAATTGTGCCACTATTCTTTTGATGAAACTTAATTCATTATTGGCAATTGTTATATTGGGTATATTTTGTATACATTTTATATAAGTGTTATTTTGTGTAATGTGGAATATGGTGTTAAAGAAATAATTTAAAAAAAGTGAATAAAGCTTACTTTTGGCATTGGCTGTAGTGTTTGCTGCCCCAATACCACTTGCTGATGTGGCAACTCCGCCTAAACCAAAACTTTGTGTTGCTGTAAAAAAATAAATTAATTAAAAACCTAAAAAGTTAAATTTTCAAATTTGATCTGTATAGTACTATTGTTTTTGAATACTCTTGCATATTTCTTTCTTCCATATTTTTTATTAATAGTAACACAAGTTAAAGTTTTACACTAAAATAATCACTTGGATCACCACAATGATCCAAGAATGGCAAGACGTGATAGTCAGACAGCTATTTATTCTATAGTGAAAGATTTGGTTTTCCAGGATAATAGTGTTAATAGCACTTGGATCATTGTGGTATTAAAGTATTGTGTGTTTAACTTGACTTTATGACGAAAACACTAATTTGAAATAAATGATCAGTCTTGTTCCACCATCGTCATATGTTGGTTTTACTGTAATAAGTATAAAAGGGTGTTAACCCACCATAATCTCTCTCTTTTAATTGTAGTCTTATTACTGTTTTCGTAGCGAATAAATAAATAATTATTATTAATATTAAGATCATAAGTTGAATTCAATAAAAAGTAGGTTACCTGAAATGGAAGGTTGTGCGCCAGTGACTGATGTTGTACCCAACTTCAGACCTAGATAAAAAAAAAATATCACTCCAAGAACTTTTTTACGTTTGGATTCTAGAACCCTGTGCTTAGTCTGTGATAAGATAATGCCATATGTTATTCTCCAGAATATTATATTTTACTAAAAAATTTTAATAGTAAGGGAGTAATTTATTTTCATAGACTACAGTCTGATGTAAATCCAAATGAAATTTTAAACTTAAGGCTTTTGGGTAGACCACTATTGAATGTCAACCAGTGTATGAGACACTTCCAGCAGATCAACAATAATCAACAGGCCTCTTAGAAATTATCTATAAAACAGCAAATTCCCTTTAAATAAATATATATTAAAAAACGTCGGAGGGAATGGAAGTAAGAATGGGTAAAGAAATTGGTTCTGTAGAACCAATAGATGATGATGATACTGACATTACTGTATTAAAAACTAAAGGGAATATTATTGTTTGTTACATACAAACTACACATACGTCATATAGGTATTTCATAAACTTCACAATTTATTACTTTACAATATAATTGTAATTTTAAATAAGGATTTTATGAGTGCTAGATGTTTCTAAATTAAATTAAAAAAAATAAGTAGAAATTCTGGAAACTGCAACTAGCAACACTTTTATATGCTTCTAGGTTCATTCTGATTGCTTACTCTATGGCTAAATAATTGTTTATGTTTATACAATGTTTGTAACAGTACGCTATATGTGTATGTAAATATTTTATGCATAAAATTATCTCACCACAAGTGGGTGTGATGACAGGATAACAGTCTCTTTTACAATTTAATTGTTTATATCCACTATTAAGTTCACATTGTATGGGACTGAGTTCGAAATTTGGCTTGGCACTGGTTGTTGGTGTCAACATTTGAAAGGTCTGGGTTACCGGTATATGGGGAGTTCGAAATGGTGATGAACTTGGATAAGGGAACATAGTGTACTGAAAAATATATACAAAAAATAAATTAGCATGCATTTTTTCATTTAAAATCAAATAAGTATTTAGTCAAGCAGAAAACTAATTTTTACGCAAACACACACCTTTCCGGTGTTTTCAACTGAATTTGCCTCGCGTCTCATTGTTTATACCGAAGTTGGGTGACCACATAATAAGAAGAATCTGCTGTTGGTTGTATGACTTTTTTTTTTTAAATCCGTACTAATATCATAAATATAATTTAGGATATAGAATACAACTATTTACATTCATCGTCGCTATAAATTTAATCCATACTAATGCGAAAATGTGTCTTAGGTTCAGCGGTTTAAGCGGATTGAGGTAACAGACAGACCTGTTACCTCAATCCGCTTAAACCGCTGAACCGATTTAGACGAAATTTGGTATAGAGATAGTCCGAGTCCCGGGAAAGTACATTGGGCAGTTTTTAACCCAGATATCATACTTTAAGGGGGTCAAAAGGGGGGTGGAAGTTTATATGAGGAATCAAGAACTGGAGATACTTTGATTCTTGAGGAAAGAGTGAGGAAGACTCAAAGGGAGGAAACATACTTGTGACTCTTCGAGTTGCAGGTGTCTATGGGCGATGGTAGTCACTTACCATCAGACGACCTGTCTGCTTATTTGCCCCTTTAAAATGCCATACCATAATTAGTTTACAGATAAATATTTATATTCTACATTTGGGATAGAATACAATGTTATGTATTACTAACATTCATTATTTTATGATTTTATACATTTTACTACAAGTCAAAAATGTATACTTACCAAAGCTGCTAGATGTGGTAGCAGTGCTAGTAGAACCAAAGTTGCTAAACCCTGTGCTCTGTGTACTTGAAGTACCAAACCCGAATCCACCTCCAAGGCCTGGAGCGGCTGAAGTAGCAGGGGCTCCAAATGACAGACCTATAATAAAAGATCAATTTAATAAAAACACATTTTTAAACAGATCTAAAATAATAAAAAAACGAGTGTGCTTTAGACCATATGACTGACGTAAAACTTCTTGGCTATGAGGGAAAGAAAGAAAGAAAATGTGTGCTCGCACCTCTCTCTCTTGCCCCTACAGTAATATACATAATAATATACATAAAGGTAACTCTCTCTCTTCTATCTTCACGAACTTATATCTCCCTCTAAACTTCCGTTCGCCTCACCCGATCACGATTTTCGTAACACCCTCGTCACGCATTAACCAGTTTACTCCCCAAGTCAAGCGTGCGTAAAGAACTTTTACTTCAAAAAGGTAAATCTAACAATTAAGCTGCAACTTTTAGATATAACGTGCACAAGTGACTTTTGTCACTATGACTGTTTTGTCGCGCACGTCCGGTCTTTCTCTATCTTGTCAGATCGTAACATACACTTATCATAATAAATATCCATAGACTAGCACTATACGAAAGTGATAACAGCATTTCATAGGTATGCTTATGCTTCAATTAGGTAGCACTCTTTAAATATTATTTTATTATATTCTTACAGGAAAACTTACAGCTCATTATTTTAAGTAAAAAACATAGTAGCAAAAGGGCAATTATAAGGTTTCACACATGAGTAGTTCTATAATATTGCTAATTCTGTTGTTCGAAAACTCTCTAAACTAAAAATCACTAAAAATTACTTTAGTCCAGTCAACTACTATGTTTTCAGAATACGAAACGTTTATTAACAGGACGAAACAAATTTTTAGTGATTTTTAGTTTAGTTCAGAGAGTTTTTGAGTTGCTAATTCTGTTGTTCTAACACTCTAAATAACTATTAAATTTAGGCAGCGACGTGTTATGTACATGTAATTCTATTTTTTTTTAGAAGAATTATTCTTCGTAGGTATGCAGTGGATATGAATATGCCAACCTTGCTAACCAACTTAGTATCATCAGCTTAACCTTGTGGATGGTTTTTCTATTTTGATTATTTTCCTTTTAATACTTTTAACATAAGAATACCTTTTATTATAAATATTTGTAAACTAGCTTTTGTCTGTGTAAATGTCGGTTATCATGGTAAAAAGTAGAATGTCTTTAAACAAGAATCAAAGTATCTTCATACAAAATTTCATCTAAATAGGTTTAGCGATTATTAAGCAAGCTAAGTCAAGCAAATAGTAAAAAAACCTTGTTCAAATAAGATTACCTGTTGCAGCTGTTGAAGTATTGGAGCCTGCACCAAAATTCAGTCCTCCCGTACCTAGGCCTGTGGCGCCAAATGCTGGAGTAGTTGTAGCACCAAATGTCGGAGCTGCACTAGCACCTAATGCCGGGGTGGTTGATGCTCCTGTGGTAATCAATTTATGTGACTAGTTTGCATAGATCACTTCTAAAGTTGCAACCACTTCAGAAGTGATCAAAGTGGGGACTGGTATGTTAAAAAAAAACAGGATAGTTTTTTTTTAACATACCAGTCCCCACTTTGATCTAGACCTCTTCTGTTGTCCTAATAAGAATGTCACCTAATCATGTTTCATGATATATCATTATTAATCCAAATTTATTATATTAATAACTAATCTGACTTAAACCAGTATGAATCTTCATGGAGGCCTCCTTAAGCTGCTTTCATTGTACTTTGTCACGAGCTACTCTCCACAAGATAGAGCCTATTGTAGATTAACTCTTAGGACATCGCGGCGCGCGGATGACCTATGACCCGTTACTGTCGCGCCCTTGAACTAGTGACCCAGACACAGCTGAGCGAAGTCATTATTACCTCAATATTTACGTTATTTTATAATTACATATATTCAATGAAATAAACATATTTGGAATCCCTGATATATATTCTTCTAAATGTTGTGACGGTGACGCGTCAGAGGTTAACTCATTATTATCCACTATTGTTACTAAACAGTCAACCATTGTGCTCCACTTACATTGATTTTGCCTTATATTTACTTACATTGAATTCAACTGTAAGACAATACCTTTGAATAGTTAAATCAATGTGTGAAGAGTACCCTTTTAAGCAAATTGACGAATGTAGAACTCAAAGTTTACAGTGTAAACTGCAGAAAGCGTTGTTTTAAACAATATACTAAAAATTATTTAGAAAATGGCTACAATAAACTACAATCTCCAAGTATAGACACAATAAGACCTTTTCTTTTTATTTAAAAAGACTACTGCAGCATTAAGAATATATCCTGTGTCGTGGGGGACTTTACAAACATACATGAAACGGACACAAAGAACACCCAGGCTCAGAACAACAATTTGTGGATTACACAAAGTGTCGTCCCATGTGGGGAGTGAACCCACAACACTTGGCATAGTAGGAAGTGACCTGGCGACTGCTTAAACCACTATGCCATCCATGCAGTCAAAACTCTTTCTTAACATATTTATACTGTTAACTAACCATCATAATCAACAGCCTTTAATAGTCCACTGCTGGACATAAGCCTCTCCATAACCTCCTTTCTAAGGAGAGGCTTAACCAACCATACTGAGTATCTATCTCTTTATAAATCTCGATCTGTTATGATATAAAATGTCTATACATTGAAAGTATCACATCACACATCACATCAACAGCCTTTAATACTTCACTGCTGGACATAGGCCTCTCCTTAGATAGGCTTGAAAGTGTGAGTTATAGAATTAATTATAGTCGAAACTGGACCGCCAGACGATATTTAGTAAAAATAAACATATACATACCGAAAGCAGGAGCAGCGGTGGCTCCGAATGCAGGTGTAGTCGTTCCAAATGCTGGTGCTGCAGATGTGGCGCCAAAAGCTGAAGTGCCAGAGCCAAACCCAGATGTGCCCGCGCCAAACGCCGGCGTCGTAGAACCAAAAGCTGTTGTTCCGAAACCTGGCAATGCAACACTCTGTTGTTGCTGCTGTTCCTGTTGGTTGGCACCGAAAAGGCTAGTAGAAGGCTGTGAAGTTGCAGTGAGACCAAACCCGGGAGTAGACGGCCTAAAATTGAAGTAATTTGACAGTTATAATTTGACATCTTATCAGAAATGAGGTTATGTTATTAAAGTCCTTTTTAAAACGATTAAAACCTCCAACATATCTCATTTCAGAAGGAATAATAAAAGTTTCTGTATGTATATTTACTTACTTGGTATTTCCAAAACTAAATCCAGTAAGGCCTGTACTCGCGGGAGCGCTCGAAGGAGTTCCAAATGAAAACGACATTTTTATGACAGAAATTAGGTTTCTCCTACACAAGAATATGGTTTGCTATTAAATCTAACTACAACTTTATTTTCTGTTACGGAGATGTCAACATTTCACTTGTAATTATTGCCGTTAATTTCCATTTCCTTTGACTTTTATTTCAAGAAAGGAAATAGTCTAGTACACGGACCCCTGACCAGTTGGTTGGACGAACTAATTCTGTGTTGCCAGATCTTGAACTCGTTTTCTCCCAATTTGTAAGACAAGCAGAAATACAAGAATTTACTTTTTGTGTGACATTTATTTCTTGTATGTAAGAAGTTGTTATTGAGTTGTTTTTGCTTTATTCTACCTCGCTACTTCGAGATAGAACTTCTACCATTAATGGTCTGTAAGTACTTTTAAGGTTATTTATTGAAATTTTCTCTAATGTAAATCATTCACTATGTTACTATCTATGGTATGTGAGCGTTTCCTTTCCATGTTTTCTTAATTTTTAATTCCCCTATTGACGGAAATGGACTTGTATAATTATTATTAATGAACGGGAATTGACATCACATCAACAGCCTTCAATAGACCACCGCTAGGCCACCGTACAATTATAATACAGTATTGTAACTCGGCCGCATGATAGAAATAAATGCCTACAGCCGCGCGGTACTTAAACATGCGTTAGGGCTGCCCGTCTCCAGCATTTTAATTATATTTGCCTACTTTCTGTTTCTATTTAGATTTGTGATTGTAAATATCCTTTTTATATAAATAAATGAAATACTTTGTATATTGAATAGGAATTGTTCAATAAAAATGCGTGTTGTTTTTTGATTGGTAGATTTAATTAAAAAACATTTTTTTGTTTGAAAAACCAATCGGGCTTATAAATTAGCGACCGAAAAAAATCCTTCTATAAAATAAAATAAATGTGCTTTCTCCATACGCGTTACAAAACTCCAATCCTTAGAAACTCCAACACCTACCACCTACTCAACTAGAATGCAAGAAACAGCTGACGAGTAAGTAACTTTTTATCTCAGCTAATTAACGTCTCTATAAATTACCTAACCTATAACCTACAACTCGCAACAACTCAAAACAAAAATTCTTTGGTCACCAATTAATTAATTATTAAAAAGCTGAACAGCTGACTACGAATGTTTTAAAATCACAACCCTCAAACATCTAAATATTATATATGAGTCTAGCTGTTGTTGTTAATACCGAGAAAATAAAACCAGTTTTTAGTGGTATATGTTGTTATAGTAGCAGCAGAAACACTTTGTGAAAATTTCGAAAACTGTCTAATGACACACAGACGGTAACAATTTTTTTTTAGTATTATTCATACACACAGATAATAAAGATATATTATTAATAATAAAATACCACGTCCTTAAGTAGAATTTTCTTTTTTTTGAATTATGCAAAGTAACAAAACAAACATGCACCGAAGTTTTAACACAAGCGTAAGTAGGTAGGTACCTACCGTATCATGATTCATTCAGAACCGCATGTAACTCCCTATTTCACTCGTCTCAATACCTTTCCGTTACTCTATTTGCTTTATTTATTCATCCAAACACCTTTTTTTTCGTGAGATAAAAGGAAATACTTATCCATTAAAAAGACACACATTATGTACCTACGTACTAGTAAGTAAAATTATTTTATAGTCTTACTTTTCAGAGTTTCCAGGTAATTTAAAAAAACTTATGTCTGGATGCGTTATTGACGAATTCATACAACCAAAAACAGCACAATATTTCCTACTCGTCATATTAACTGATTTTTAGAGAAAAAATCGCGCGGTTATTGTTAAAAAAACCACACGCAGTCCGTTCGACACTGCGGTACAGCCGTGACTGTCTGCGCCCCGAGCGCACCCCGAGATCGAGGCGCGTAGGTATAGCTCCCGTTTCGTCCGTTTGTATGAAGTTGCAGTACTGTATTATAATAGTACCGTGGCTAGGCTCTGGAGAAACATCTGCTTAGAAAGAAGGAATCGACATCAATAAGTTTTTAGTATAGGGAATTGACGGTTACATTATATTTTTTATAAAAAAAAAAGGAAAAAGTGGTGGTAACTTTTTTCTAAGCCAGACATCGGCAGCTAATGTTTTTGTGTGGTTGGTTTCATAATTTTTAACAAACAATACTTTCATTATTCTACTCTATGCTTTATGGTACTCATTTTTCCCGCCTACAAAAAGTACTCGTCCCCAAGTCAAACTAAAAATTGAGGTCTGACTGAGATGCATGTTGACAGACGAGTCTAACGAGAACGTAACTTTACACGATTTAAACGAAACATAAAACAATTCTAATTCAGGTTTAACAATTTTAAATAAGTAAGAATTTAATTTGGTTGATGCGGATGACCGGTTGTTGTGGACTACTGGACATCTTTCGGCTGTGATAAATAAATGAATGAAGAATTTATAACACTGAGTTCAAGGAATGCAATGCGACATATATCCAGTTTAAACAGCAAGTAATTTAAACTATACCTAGCGTGATATTTTATTTCTGCGAGACTTAATAAAACAGTTACGTTGAATAATATAACATAAGCATCGCTATAGCATATCAATCTAAGGAAGTTTGTTGCACCAGAATCTGCAAGTGATGTGCGCCGACCACGACGCGACAGGGATGTTATTCGAATTCGCTAGAATATATTGTAAGGTAACGAATTAGTTACTAGTTTGATACAACAACATTAGACGTCAACCCTTCGCTACTGATATAAATAATAATGTATCATTTTAAAGTATTTATTTTAATTATTTAATGCTTGTGTACATATTATTATATCAATGAACTACACTTAATCTCTCGGCCAAGATTTTTGTGTGCATTTGGGTGGATCTACCCAAATGGTTTATGTTTGGACTCAGAAGGTGGCTTACGTTACATACACAACGGAAATTACAAGTTATTTCGATATAATTATAAAGTTTCTACATATAGCAACTAATTAAAGTTCTAGATTCATCTAATTCTCATACAAAATTCTAATCTATCATTTCTTAATTATATTAACGAAAAAATTATAGTTGCTTAGGTTGTGTGTATTAGGTTGTAATAATAGCCCAGTTCTTTGATATTTATTTGCGTGTGGAAACTCTCGAAACGGACGGAAACGGCTGTTATCAAGACCTCCGGAGTTAGTAACATTGCCTTGCCTAGGTACATATATACACAGATGTGTTTGGATTCACAAGATGGCTGCATGATCCATTAAATTTGTAAACACTAAGCTGATCTAGGATAAATAGCTCAACAAATTGATAAAAAAAACTTTTTCATCGTCATGAAAAGAACTGCCCCAAGTTTTGCTCCACCTTCAGTGTTATAACAGTTATTTAGCTCACTAGTGAATAAAAAAAATTGACTTACCCATTGTTTGAACTTAACTGACCATATGTATATCGCTAATGTCTCACGGTCTTTTTACTTTCGCAAATATTACTGGTAGCAAAGAAATAGGTAGGTATTTTTTTTTATTTACATGTCACTGTCAACTGTCAAAAATATGTGTAAGATTCTTTCGAGTTGTTTGTTGCTTCAGAATTATTAACATCGTACTGTGTTGCTACTGTATCCCTGATTCGCACCAATGAATCACATGGCTTGGGGTGGATATTTACACAAATCTTGCAGAGTCACTTTTAGAAGCACTCCCGTAGTTATTCGAATTCCTTTCCTGATGACACGTTACCCAGGCCGCTGGGTAAATAAAAGTAGACCTCCGCCAGTGAACTCTACAGAAAAATTGAGTACCAGACTGATAAGTGGAAGGTACCGAGTGGAAACAGGTATAACAAAACCGGCAAATGCTTATAGTATTGTGTCTTTTTAAAAATTGAATTCTAAATTAAAGGAGTGAGTGTTAAGTACTAAGTTATGTTGTCCGACAAAAATTGTCGTGCCCGAAGATATTTTTACTACTTACATTAATATTGAATCCGAAATTAAAGGAGTTACGTTTAAATGGTTATTTGATTTCTAAAAACCTGTACTGTGGTGCATAGTACCCTCTGGACCGTATCCAAGGAAGAGCGACTCGAATCGTAGATAGCCAAAAGATTTGCGACCGGCTCCATCCCTTGGCGAGATGTAGCTTCGCTCTGCATTGTCTATCGTATATATCATGGAGAGTGCTCCAACGAATTATTCAGACTAATACCGGTTGCAACCTTCCGCCATCGTTCCACACGGCAAAATTTTCATCCCAACCACTTGGATAATTGGCGATCCACCACTGTGGACACTTTTGGCCACTCACTACCAACCTGTGGAACAAGTTATCGGCTGCGGTATTTCCGGACCGATACGACCTTCAAGAAAAGAGCGTACTCTTTCCTCAAAGGCTGGCAACGCGCTTGTGACTCCCTGAGTCCGTGGGCGGCGGTAGTTGCTTTCCATCAGGTGACCCGTCTGCTCTTTTGCCCCCTATTTCATATAATTTTTTTGAGTAAACGAGAGATCACAGCCAACGAATAATGCTTTCCACGAAGTAAAAAGAAAAATACAATGTCATGTTGTGTACCTACTTTTTGGTTTAGAAAAAACATGTCTACGAGTAACTACACATAGCCTTCCTGTTTCCTGCAGATCAGTGTCATAAAAACCTGCTTGTCTACTATTTTGTTTGTGCGTGAGATGTAAAAATTAAGAGTACAGAAACCACTACATAATTTTTGTAAAAGAATTAACTCTTCATTGCTTAGTTTTAACTGCCTAAGGATAAATGTAGGTGTGATGTTTATATATCTGTTTAATACTTACCTACCTATTTCTATCCTCTGAGTCTTTTCACAAATTGGGTTGGGGTAGGCTTTTAGGCTACTAACAGCTGTTCCCGGATCCATCCTCTTACAGGCGCAGAGTGGCACACCGTGTGGTTTTAGTCGGTCCGAGTCCGACACACCACCCCGCCGCAAACCCCGGTGGGGTGACGGTCCGAGGGGATTTCCACACGATAAAAAAAAAAAAGGCTTTTGGGCTACTACGAC